CTGGCGGGCGGATCTGTTCTCCGCTCGCAGCAGCGCGCTCTTCGTCTCCAGCAGAGCTCATCCCGATGTGGCTTCCCTCGAGGGGCAAAACTCTAGAGTGTTTGCGGCCTACGCCACTTATTTATCGGGTGAGACTGTTTTGGTGATGTATTAACTTCACGGGAGGTAGACGACCGTCCTTCACACGGACGAAAGAGGGAGTACTCAAAGAGCGGCTCCCACAGCAAGGAGGGGCCCCGTGAATCATCGCGGTGCCCCCTATCAAACGGTTATCTTACCAGTCTGCGTGACACTAAATCATCCAGCACATGTATCCAACAGCAATGTTCGCAGGCTCACGAACATGGAATGGTAGAACCGCAGGGTTCTCCATCAAGCACTATGCCTCGAAAGAGTGTTAATCCACCCGATACTTCACGCCGCCATCTCGTCTCTCTCTTGCTTCTGAGGGACAAACTTTCCACAAAACCCTCTCGTGAAGTCGTTGGCATGGAGAGCGATCTCCACGCCAGTGGAATAGACCGACATTCCGCCACTGGCTACAAGCGTTATCGCAATCATAACAGCGATTGCGACCAAGTCCTACAGGGAATACCAAGTCCACGAATGCACGCTTTGTCTACATACAATGGACACACCAATCAACCATCGACTCGGTAACGCCTACGGAGTAGGAGCAAAGACATAAACTCCGCAAGTGAACTCCTTCACCACGACTAAGCCCCAAGAAACCTCATCCACCGATAGCACCGCATTTTCCAAGGACCCACAGTCTCCACCATCCCAAGAAACACGAAAGGCGACTGCTTCCCCCCAACTTGACATCACGACACAAAAAAAAACATACCATACACGAATAAATGCCCCCCCACCACAACATGCACGATTCAGCGACAGCTGATGCGGTGAAGACGATCTTCAGTGAAGACAACGTTCCAGCTCCTGACGCGTCAACTCCTCCCAGCTATGGTTACTGTAACGCACACGCCAGTAGCGGTCTCGGTAAACAAACACTTGTCCTTGGAGCTTTAGCACTCCACCAAAGTCTTTCTGGAAAGTAAAGCCTATTGGGTAGATTCGCAGGGCTTCACGGGGGGACAACGGTGCACGCGGTAGGGAGCACGGGGTAAGTTGAGACGCCAATGCAGGATAGTACAGATGCCATAGTGCAATGGACGCATCCAACTGCAAGCGTGTGAACGTACGGAGAAGCTCAGGTTCTGACAGCCACACGGACTCTACACCAGTCTACGATATGGCTTTGCACTCCCATCCCAAGGCACCGGTAGGTGAATGCACACGACGGCAGTAAGAGAGGGAGACGAACGTCCCTAGTTCAGGCTGCTCGACAGCTGCTGCTGACCACTTATGAGCCTCGGCTAGCGCACACACTACGAGCTGCGAGCATCACGGGAAGATCAAGGCAACCTCCTCTTGGGACATCAGCCTTTATCCGTGGACAACGAGAGAACGTGGTTTCGGAGATTTCTGGAGGTTGCAACGCCGTCGTCATCGCTCAACGGCACCACAATCAAACGCGCAAACTTGGCATCTACACCAAGGTGCTGAGAGTTCACGCCGTCAACACACGTTTCCACCGCTGCGGCAGCAGTGGGTACCTCTGTGGTGAACAAGCAGCAAGGGTCACGTGCGCGGGAGTCTCGAGCGACATTCGCATCGGGTGAATCAGGAACTACACCGTATTATCAGTGGAGGCGATCAGCAACCGGAGTCCTCTATATCAGCAGCAGGAGCGGGATCGGAAACAACAAAACCACGACCGGAGTCCTCTAGATCAGTAGCAGGAACGGGGTGTGGAAGTCTCGGGTACAGGCAGTAATACCACGAGGAAACTACTCCTGCAGCAGGAAGTACTTTGATCAAGACGAAGAAAATGAAGCTGGAACGAGCAATGGATACCGCAACGAGCAACACAGGAGGTGGAAGCGCGTTCGCCAGCGATAGTTCTACAAAGCTGGCGACCGTGATCAAAGGCCTCAAGAAATTCGACCGAAAGGACCCAGCTGAGTTCAAGATATGGATGAAGAAATTCTGCGTGGTGTTAGGCGTGACCAGGAAGGACATCCTGCCACTACTGAAGAAGCAAAGGATGCCAGATCCCGCAGACACAGCGGCCTTCGACTCCTACACAAAGGCAAACGAAGATCTTTACGCCATTCTTTTCCTCCTAGTGAAACTTCCAGCCGCCTCGTCAGTACAGAGGCACAAAGCCGACACTGGCATCAGCGGCGACGGACAAGCTGCCTTCGAGGAGCTCTGCAACAACTATGACAGGGTAACGGACGAGGACATCAGGGCCAAGATGAAGGAGCTGGAGAACAATCCCATGAACCCTGGTGACAATCCCGACGACAACTTCAACCAGAGGCACCTACTTCGCGCCCAGCTGGATAAGATGGGAGCACCCATCTCCGACCGCCGCTTCAAGGACATCTGCGTACGGGGCGTCTCCGACGAATATAAGGACGTCAAACTGATGGTGTTCAGGGACCCAACCTTCAACGTCCTGGACATGAAATCCACCATGCGCAACATCTTCTTGGACGAACAATCGCGCAAGGGATGGAAGGGACGCATAGCTGGTCGAGGATTTGCCATGGCAACGACCGCGTTTGACATCGTCTGCCACAGCTGCTAAGAGCCGGGGCACATCAGGAGGAACTGCCCCAAGATCAAGAACAGGGCGAAGAAGAAACGAAGCCCGCCGGAGCTACCAAGTGGTGTTCCAAGCACAACACTACGTCTCACTCGGACGAGGAATGCTACCAACAAGGGGAAAGCGCCCGGAAGACACCTTATTCCACCCCGTGATCACACAGAANCCAGGAAGGACATCCTGCCACTGCTGAAGAAACAAAGGAAGCCAGATCCCGCAGACACAGCGGCCTTCGACTCCTACACAAAGGCAAACGAAGATCTTTACGCCATTCTTTTCCTCCTAGTGAAACTTCCAGCCGCCTCGTCAGTACAGAGGCACAAAGCCGACACTGGCATCAGCGGCGACGGACAAGCTGCCTTCGAGGAGCTCTGCAACAACTATGACAGGGTAACGGACGAGGACATCAGGGCCAAGATGAAGGAGCTGGAGAACAATCCCATGAACCCTGGTGACAATCCCGACGACAACTTCAACCAGAGGCACCTACTTCGCGCCCAGCTGGATAAGATGGGAGCACCCATCTCCGACCGCCGCTTCAAGGACATCTGCGTACGGGGCGTCTCCGACGAATATAAGGACGTCAAACTGATGGTGTTCAGGGACCCAACCTTCAACGTCCTGGACATGAAATCCACCATGCGCAACATCTTCTTGGACGAACAATCGCGCAAGGGATGGAAGGGACGCATAGCTGGTCGAGGATTTGCCATGGCAACGACCGCGTTTGACATCGTCTGCCACAGCTGCTAAGAGCCGGGGCACATCAGGAGGAACTGCCCCAAGATCAAGAACAGGGCGAAGAAGAAACGAAGCCCGCCGGAGCTACCAAGTGGTGTTCCAAGCACAACACTACGTCTCACTCGGACGAGGAATGCTACCAACAAGGGGAAAGCGCCCGGAAGACACCTTATTCCACCCCGTGATCACACAGAAGAGCCCCTCTTTACCCTCCCCTCTTGCGGTGCTTTGCCTTCGATTTTTAACGGGAGAAGAGTTCAGCACTCTCTTCCCTCTGTGTACATACAGACTAGCGCTATTCACTAGGCCAGGAGCGGAAGCGAGAGAAATAGTCGCTTCCGCCGGGTTTCCGACCCCTGACCTGACCTCTAGAAGGTATTGATGGTACCAACTAGACCACCAGGGCGACCGGTCGTTGATTTTCCTTAGGAACGTCGGGTCCGTCGCGTCCAGTCTGTGGCCGTGGACCAACAGAGCTCTACTTGTCAGTTCCGGCTGGTTCGCGTTTGTTGCTACTGGGCGTTGTGGCCGGTACCCACAACCGCAGAGCATTTTCCGTTCATATTCGCACTCTGAAATGAGTTTAGGGGCTGAGATTAGCTCTCAGCACGTCTGAAATATCGAATCGGTTGCGGCATTATGCACCTTTCGCGCGATCCAAGGAGGCGTTTGATGTGGAGCGAGAGGGCGCGGAAATCTCCCACCAGTATTGACATCCTGCTCGATCACGGGGCTATCTCCACGCTAGCCGCATTCATCCATTCCACGCCCCTCTTTTTCTTGTTTCCTCTTGACTCGCGGACCTAGGTCGGAGAGCGTCTGCGGCGCCTGGGCTTGGCAGTACGAGGGACTGCGAATCACGACGAGACGGCGGCACTGCGGCCTTCCGGGATGGCCTGTTCCGCCCGAAGGCTTCTGCGACAACGGCTTCGATATCGGCTGCACAGATGACACAGCTCGTGCCAACAACACCAATGCCGCGTCCGGATTTTGTATCAACAGCAACAGCAGCAATGGCAACCATGCCGCAGGCGCCGGCGACGAGATGTCGGCCCAGAGCTTCGTGCGATGCTTGCGGGCTTACCGCCGACGGTTCGGCCTGGCCGTCTTCACCGAGACCGAGGTCCTTGGAGTGGAGCGAGAGGCGGTGTCGCCGTCGACCCGCCGCGGTGATGCCCGTGCTCGGGCTGGCGGAATTCATGTCCGCTTCCGATGGTAATCAATTGTTTCTGGGTTGGGGAGTACAGGCTTGCTTGTGGCTGGTTGGTGGAAGTTTGTCCGCCTCCGATGGTGCTAATTTGTTTTGCTTAGTGTGAGGGATATTGGGTTACCTGTGGCTGACGTGCTGTTTTCATCTGCAAAACACACATACGAAGGGAACGAAGAAAGGTTGGTCCCCTGGAAAGCCTGCGTTTGGGACTGTTCGGGTTAGTCTAACGACGGTGCCCCAGGCAACTAGCCAACGGATCACCAACAAAAGAATAGTATTCGATGCCTGCGATCCGCGCTAAGGAGCATGCTCTCCCTTGACTTGGCCTCCTCTGCTTTCCCTCCTGCTTGCTTCTTCTTGGCGGAAGGAGAGGCGAGCCGGCGGTATCCGTGGTACGTTGTGATCACGTCGTGGTCGCTACCGGAAAGTGCTCATCCCCGAGAATGCCTTCCACGGTGCTGGAGAACCTCCGAGGCTTCTCCGCGGAGGTGAGCGGGATTTCCATGGGGCTGCCTGGTCTCAGGCTAACCTTGAGTCTGACGCCAAACAACCGAAAATGTTGTTGTTGTTTTTGTTGCCGCTACTGTGTTGTTCGTCGTTGTTGTTGCCAGTGCTGCTGACGCTGTTGTCGTTGTTTTCCTTGTAGCCATTGTCGCCGTTCTTGATACGTTAGCGTGCCCCCCCCTCCCCCCCTAACCTCGCCCTTACGTATTCTCAAACACGAAACCTTATGCATTCTCAAACACGCTGCTCCAGGTTTTTCACTCGAGTGAAGCCAAGGCCCTAGCATCGAGGGCGGCCAGCGGTGGTGGCATCTGCATTGTCGGCATGGTTAACAGCGCCTGTGATATCGCGGTGGGTAAGCTAAGGCAGAAGCACGCTGTGTTTCGACATTGAGCAGCAAGCCGTCTCGACGTTTTAGTTTGTTTAAAATGTTCTCTTCGGTGCAGAATATCAGTTGAACTTCCGAGGCCAAGTGCTTAATCATCAGGTGCTACATTATGTGTAACGCGGAAACCAGCAGAGCAACGACGCGTCGTCGTAGGGACTTCCAGTTTGCAATTTCACAACTTGCTGGCATTATTTTTTCTTCCAATCCACATATAACCCCAAATCCAAGGAACAACAAACCGACCATGATAAGTCGTTGTCATTCCTCCCCGCATTTCAAAACTCTCACACGGAGCCCGCCGCAGCACGTCGATTGCATGCCTATTGGATGTGATCGATTCTCTCTCCCTCACCACTGCCCAAATGACCAACTCGACCTACATCAGCTCTTCTGGCGAACGGCGTAGACAGAGTTCACATCTCCACGAGGTCGGCACTTCCGATCATCATGCGGAAGTGGGGCCCGCTTTCCTTGGAGTGAGTTTCCAGGTGGTGATGGGGTGTTCACACCCGCGATAGGGGCGTTGTGATAGATATACTTGTAGCAATGCCAAGTGGTTGTAGGATTGTGTGGTACGTGGAATGTATTTCCAGGATGTGCAAGGTACCCCTGTTGTATACTGCGTCGCCCCCTCATGGTGGTGCGTGCACGCGTGCGTTCAGTTCATGTGGTTTTATGTAAGTTCATGTGAGTTCATGTGAGTTCATGTGAAGAAGAAGTTTATGCAACAAACCCTACACGTCTTTCCTCCTTGGCGCGAGCTCGCCGAGTTGCCGACACCCTATTCAACACACGTCTTGCGACAAGCTACCCCCAGTTCGGATCATCCTAACACGCTAGCGTGCTGATATCATACGGGATCCCGAGGTGAGGCTAGCTATAAAAGGGTCGGCTAGAGAAGTAGATTATGGAGGAAGCCCTCGACCTCAGCAGCTATACTGAGGAGGATCGCCAAGCATTAGCGGCGCACATCAAAGAGGAGGTGGAGAAGAAAGTACAACAGAAGATGAAAGAACAAGAAGAAAAGCGTCCCGCTTCAGAGAGCGTGGACATGCCCCCCGATGGAGGCGATCCCCGGCATGCTCGGCCGGCTGGAACAGCGTTGAACCCGCAACCTGAAGACCAGCCACGATCGTTGGAAGACCGTCTCGTTGATTCGTTCGCACGGGCAATGCGAAGGACCAACACCCCGGGGGAGGAAACCAGGGAAGTCGTAACCCCTAAGGACACCATCCGTGTCAGTCCTGTAATACATGTAGCCCCATTTACGGGTGTGTTAGATTCCAGTGGCGATGTTCAAGTTAGAGTACAGGTGTTTGAGAGCCAATTTCGAATGCTGTTGCAACAAGAAGATTGCCTGAATGCAATAGTATCAGAAGAGACAATCAGGGTGGGGAAGTCGGATGCAGACATTCCCAAACTGAAGGAGGAGTATGGTAGGAAGGCCGTAGAGAAGGCCATGAAGGCCTGGCAGTTAATACTGGCAAAGATTCAAGTTGCATCGATCGTACCAGCAATCATCTCTAGTGGTTGCCCAACGGAGTCATGGCGAATATTTCGAAATCATTTTCAAGTGCATGCCCACACAGAAAAGACGAGCCTCCAGCTAGAGTGGCAGGAGTTGACGCAAGGGGTTCAACAACACCCGAAAGAGTACCTGTCGAGAGGGTGGGTGCTGAGGCAAAGGCTATCATCTTGCGGAGTGACAATTACAGAGGATGATGCTAACAGACATCTTGTGCGCAACCTCCTCCCCGAATATGATGTCTACACAGGTTTTCTGATGTCCGAGAGCGGTCTAGAGAAGGAGAGAGTAGAACGGATTATAGTGAATGCTTGGGCGGAGATGGAGGCGCGAAGGAAGAAGAAGCAGGAGAGCGTGGGGGCTTATGCCCTCGTCACTGGCGGTGAGAACCGTAGTGGCGGGGGAGGGAACACGGGGGGACCGGGGAAGACGAGAGGACAACGGAGGACGGCAGCGCGGGAACAGAAGCAACAACCGCAGCAGCCACAGCATCATCATCAGCCGTACTTCAACCAGCAGCAACAGGTATACCTGCCGTCGTACCCGCCTGAAATAAAATATTGCGACCTCCACAACTCCCCGTCCCACAGCAACGAGGAATGTCGCTTGCAGCGGGGTTGGGGAGGTCCCTCGGGCGGCCAAGGTGCGAGCTACGGCGGAAGGCACGGGCCCCAGCATGGGGGCCGGGGCTTTTCTGGAGGAGGACGTCATCAGCAGCAGCCGGCAGGAGGAAGATTCGGGGGACGTGGCGCCGCTTCCGGTGGGAGGGGCAGGGGCCCTTTTCACCAGGGATCGCCCGGCAGCAACCTCCCCGCCTACCCTGTACCTCAGCAAGGCTACGACTACAGCACCTACCCCCCCAACATGTACCGCCCACAGGGAAATGAACCTCCCATCCACCCGAATGACCCTCGCAAGCGGTGTGAGAACTGCGGTGAACTCGGCCACAACCACCTGTTCTGCCCTTCGCGTGTTGATGTCGGAAGGCCAGCTGGCATGCCGGCAGGCAACGCGCCGCCCAGGCACCCGCCGCCCCGGCCGCCGGCCGGTGGTTACAGCCAGCGGCCGCCTTGGGCACACTCGTATGGGCAGGCAAACACGGCGCAGCAATACGGCGGAGAGGGTTACCCGGGGGTAGCGCCAGGAGCAGCAGGAGCGACGGCGGTGGCGACGACAGCTCCATCTACAGGGGCGCATGCGGTGACGCACGTGAGCGGCGTTTACCAAAATCCGGTGACGCACGCGAGCGGCGTTTACCATTACTCGCCCCAACAGCAGCAGCCGGAGTACCTTCCCCCCCCCGTGCAACAGCAGCAGCCCATCTCCAACCCGTACGCTCCTCCGGCGCCTTCGACCGGAGCGTCTCCATCGACTGGTGGGGATTTACATGCGTGTGTGGTGTGGGCTTTTCCAAGTGAGTCTGAAAATGGAGTGCTAGTAGAGCGAAGGGACGACGGATATGCAATGATGAACGTCCTTGATGAGAGTGTAGGAGACGAAACTTGGCTTGCAGACTCAGGCGCCACGAATCACACCACCGGTGACCCGAGGTGCATGTACGATGTGATGATTCCTCCGCCTGGTAGAGAGCGAGTAGTGATTGGCGATGGTAGGACGATGCCTGTGCTTGGTATCGGCAGCCTGAACGTCAAGTTCCACAATGGTGGAAACGATTTTTGCGTGAAGCTCACCAACGTGTATCACGTTGAGGGAATGGGTTACAATTTGTTTTCGCTTCACAAGGCCATGGGAGGGCAACGCATTGAAATGGATCCTATAGGTATCCACCTGTTTGACGGTGGATTAACTTTTCCCCGTGGCGAGCGTGGTTCTTCCTTGAGAGCGACTCGTTTACCGCCCGATTACACGACGCCACTTGCTGCGCCCGTGGTGACACCGTTACCTCCGCCTCCCCCTCGCTCTGCAGACGTTGTGAGTGTGACTGGTGTTGCAACGATGCATGCAATCCCCCGCATGCAGCATTCTCCCCAAGGTGTAGCGTACATGCCCTCTTCCTCGTTTTCTCGTTTCCCGCCCACTGTCGCCAGCGCCGGCAGTGTAGTACCTCCAACGGTGTCTAGGTTCCCGCCCACTGTCAGCAGTGTCGTGCTTCCATCCGCTCCGACGAGCGTTGTGCCGACCCCCGTCTCTGGTTTCCCGCCCGCTCCCAACAGCGTAGTACATTCTGGTGACACCGCCCACAGATATGCCCCCGTGTCGAATTTTCCGCCCGCTGCAGCCGGCATAGTACCTTCCACGGTGTATGGTTTCCCGCCCGCTGCAAACAGCGTAGTGCCATCGTCTGTGATCAATATCCCGCCCGCTGCGAGCAGCGTCGTTCTTTCGACAGTGTATGCCCCCTCCCCCGCTGACAGGAGTGTGGTTTTTCCCTCCGCTCCTCAAGTGCCGCATGGTATGGAGTTGGTAGCTGTTCCCGGGTTGCCATCGCCGGACGTCACCGTTTTTCAAAAGAATAGTGAGGATGATGACCGTGGGTTTATTCCGTTCACAGAGCAGGGAGATTACGAGTGGGCTTTGTACCTCTTAGAACAGAGACAAGAATCGGATGACCCCTACGAGTTTTTAGACTTGATGTTTGAGTCTGGATTTGCCAATGTCTTCGATGATGTTGCTTTCGCCGTTCCCGTTATGGCCCCGGGCAAGCGCCCTTTTTCGGTGGGGAAACCCACCAAGATTATTGACGTTAACCTTCTCCATGTTTCGTCCTCCCACGCCAATGAGTTTCTTTTGCGTGAGCTTGCGAAGCAGCACGGTCTCCGACTGACCGGTGTCCTGCAGCCTTGTGGTGGATGCCTGCAGGCGAAGGGGAAGAAGGCGGGCGTGCCTCACCAATTGGGCACGCGCGCGGAGCGGCCGCACGATCTTTGGCACATCGATCTGTGTGGGCCGATGACGGCCTCGCTGGGGGGTTCGTTTTTCATGATTATGTTCGTGGACAGCTTCTCGCGGTGGATGAAGCTGTACGGGATGAGGCGCAAGTCGGACACCCTCGCCTTCGTCAAGAAGTTCCTCGCCGACATGAGTGGCACCGGTGTCCCTCGCTCTTTCCGGATGGACAACGGGGGGGAGTTCATCGGACGCGACTTCATCGCCTTCTGTGACAACGCCGGCATCCGCCGTACGTACACGGCGCCGGGCACCCCGCAGCAGAATGGTCCGGCGGAGAGTGCGATCTGGCGCGTGAACAAGGCCGGCCACGCCGCTCGTCTCGAGGCACCCCGCCTGTTCCCCAAGATCGACTTCACCCGCGTCCCCGGCTTCGGGCGCGATGGCGAGCGACTCTGGCTAGAATCGTGTCACTGGGCTGCCGGCGGCTTCAACCGTTCTCCGACCAAGGCAAACGTCGGGTACAAGTCGCCGCACGAGCTCTTCACCGGTCGCCCGCCACCGCTCCAGATCGTCCCGTTCTTGCAGCCGGGGTATATGCGTGTGACGCGCGCGAGGAAGATGGATCCCCAGGCAGTGCTGTGCTGCTACCTCAACAACGGCGACAACCATCACGAGTCGGCGGTCAAGGTCCTCAAGTTCGCGACGGGGCGCGTGTGCATGACGAACAACGTCGTGTGGGTCTCCGACCGCGCGCCGTTGCTGACCCCGCCGCTGGAGCTGCCGGCGCCGGCGGACGAGGGGGGAGATTCGAATGTCGCCGCCGCACCGTTTCTAATTGAGTATATTTCACCGCCTCTCTTACCCCCCTCACCGTATGCCCGACCTCCCACTTCACCCGCTGCCATACTCTCACAGGCGCCGCCGGCAACTTCCACACCACCATCGCCGGCGGCGCCGTCTACCGCAGCCACACCACCGCCACCGTTCCCCGCGCCGCCTGCAACGCCGCTCGCCGCCGCGCCACCGTTCACCACCACCGCGCCGCCTGCAACGCCGCTCGCCGCCGCGCCACCGTTCACCACCACCGCGCCGCCTGCAACGCCGCTCGCCGCCGCGCCACCGTTCACCACCACCGCGCCGCCTGCAACGCCGCTCGCCGCCGCGCCACCGTTCACCACCACCGCGCCGCCTGCAACGCCGCTCGCCGCCGCGCCACCGTTCACCACCACCGCGCCGCCTGCAACGCCGCTCGCCGCCGCGCCACCGTTCACCACCACCGCGCCGCCTGCAACGCCGCTCGCCGCCGCGCCACTGTTCACCACCACCGCGCCGCCTGCACCGCCGTTCGCCGCCGCGACACCGTTCACCACTGCCGCCTCGCCTCCGGCCTCACCGTTCACCACCGCCGCTGCACCGTCAGTAATACCGTCTCCCGCCGCCGTGCCGCCCGGTGCCGCGCCTTCCACCAACATGCCGCCGCTCACTACGAGGACCATCCGTGAACTGGACGTGGGGCGCGGCGACATGAGGGTTTCTGGGCGCACGAGGGCAGCCGCTAAGGACCAGGGGGGGGGGCGTGCGTCGTCAATGCCGCCCCTCTCTGCCAGGGCCAATCGAGAGCTGGACTTGGGACGAGAGACGCGGGTGCCAGGGAGGTTGAGGGGTCGGCGGGTGCGTTTCCAGGATGGGGGGGCCGAGCGGTCGACGTCACCTGGCGGGAGCGGCGACGCTCTCGCCCACCGCTTCGGTCTTGTTTCCCTGCAGGACAAGGCAACGCTCCTGTCGACTCTAACCACTCGCAGCATCGTCGATGGGGGGAGGAAGGAGATCCCGAGTTCAGCCGGAGGACGTGATGGAGCGGAGCCGGGGGGGCGAGAGCGGGAGGGCACGAAAACAGAAGGACTGCGTGAAGAAGTCCCATTTGCGTGCGCCACCTTGCTTGCCTCCCGCGAGGACATTGATCGCGCGATGAGGGATTTAGATCCCCCGGAAGTGGCACCGGACTTGCCACAGTGCTATGCGAGCGACTTGCGCGTACCCAAAACGTATAGGGAGGCTGTGTCCTCTCAACATGCTGACTTGTGGATACACTCTGTAGAGAAGGAGTTCAGAGGCCTGATGGAGGCTGGTACCTTTGAGGAAGTAATGTAGCAACCAGAAAGTGTTATCAAGGCGAAGTGGGTGTTTGATTGGAAATCTGATGAGTATGGATGGCCAACCAATGTGAAATCACGGCTAGTAGCGAGAGGAGATATGCAGCGAGTACATGTAGATTGTGGAGAAACGTATGCACCGACTGTAGCGGTTTCTAGCGTTCGCTTGTTGGCAGCGATGGCGTGTGAGCAAAATCTTTCTCTCCGTCATTTTGACATCAAGCAGGCATTTGTCCAGTCGGATTTGGATGAGGATGTTTTTATGCGTCTGCCAGAGGGGTGTGGTAGATTATCAGGTATGATCGTGAAGTTGAACAAGAGTCTATATGGCCTTAAGCAGGCATCAAGGCAGTGGCACTCACACTTGGCGAGGTGTTTGATTTGTTTGGGTTTTATTCAGTGTATGGCGGATACGTGTGTGTTTCGGTTGATTGAGGAGGGAAGAGTGGTAGTGACTCTGGTGGTACATGTAGATGATATATTTTCGATAGGAGAAGAGGAGAGGTGTGACCAGTTTGGCAGGGACCTCAACACCATGGTACCTGTGAAGAATCTTGGGGATTTGAGATGGTACTCTGGATGTTTTTATGAGAGAGATTGGGATGCAGGAACTTTGAAGATCTCGCAGCAGACGTACGCTGAAGAGTTGGGGATGGAGTTTGGGGTAGAGTACGGGAAGGAAATTCCTCTTCCTGTAGGGTTGAAGCTTTCAGAGTTTGACCAGGATGAGGAAGTGGTATCATGGCCTTTTCGTGAGCTGATAGGATCATTGATGTGGCTGGCAACGCAAACGAGGCCAGATATCGCGAATGCAGTAAGAGCGGTGGCACGGTACTGTGCCTCTCCAAAAGAGATTCATTGGAGAGCAGGGCTTGGTATTTTGGGGTATGTGGTAAGGACTAGTGACTTGGGTATTACATTCAGGAGGGGTAGTGTAGCAGGATTAACCATGGAGGTGTTCGCAGACGCAGACTATGCAAGTAAGGCTGCCGATAGGAGGTCTGTGTCAGGGGGATTGGTGATGTGTGGGGGGGGATGTATTTCTTGGTTTTCAAGGACCCAGAAGTGCGTTACGTTGAGCACGACAGAGGCGGAGTATGTCTCTCTTTCTTANTTACGTTGAGCACGACAGAGGCGGAGTATGTCTCTCTTGCGGATGTGATGAAGGAAGTGTTGTTTCTGAGGCAGGTGTGGCGTTTCATGTTACCAGAAGCAGGCATGCCATGTATTCCGGTGTTCGAGGATAACCAAGGGGCTATTCAGTTGGCGCAAAACCCGATAAGCAACAGTAACTCGAAGCACATCGACGTAAGGCACCACTTTATCAGGGAACTGGTAGGCAGGAAGGAGATTTCGATTTTTCACGTGGAATCGGCGTATCAACATGCTGACTTTCTCACGAAAGCACTTCACACGGGAGATTTTGAGTTTCATCGTAACTACGTGATGAGTATGGATTAATATCTTGGTGTTTGGGTTTATTTTGTGTTTGATCAAACAACTGGGGTGGCAACATTTTACATTTTTGCCTATGGTTTTTCTCAATGGATGATGTTCTAGGTAGGCTGGGGGGCAACAAGTTCACTGAAGTTCGAAGAAGTATAACTGGTATGATCGGGGATGGTTATTGATGTCTAGCCAATGAGGCTATTGTTCTAGAGTTGAGTGGAGTTTCTGGTTTTATTTTCTTGTGTTTCGGAGTTATTGAGGATCGAAAAAGACATGGCATGGTCACAAGCAGGGGGGCTGATAGATATACTTGTAGCAATGCCAAGTGGTTGTAGGATTGTGTGGTACGTGGAATGTTTTTCCAGGATGTGCAAGGTACCCCTGTTGTATACTGCGTCGCCCCCTCATGGTGGTGCGTGCACGCGTGCGTTCAGTTCATGTGGTTTTATGTAAGTTCATGTGAGTTCATGTGAGTTCATGTGAAGAAGAAGTTTATGCAACAAACCCTACACGTCTTTCCTCCTTGGCGCGAGCTCGCCGAGTTGCCGACACCCTATTCAACACACGTCTTGCGACAAGCTACCCCCAGTTCGGATCATCCTAACACGTTGGGGAGGAACCAAAAACGGTTTCGATGGTCCAAAAGTGTGTCTTGGTGGAAGTTGCGGCTTCACGGCATGTCGTCAGGCATATATTGTACGTCCCCCCTGGTTTGAAGCACAGCATCACCCAGCCTTCGTTAATCTCGACAATATCTTCAAGCCCGTTTCACATGGCGTCGTGCGAACCTTTTCCTCGAAAACGTGTAGTGGCCTTTCGCCTCTCGGGCTAGCGTGGCCGTCCTTTGTGTGAGATGTTGGTTCATTTTTGTTTCGCTCTTGTCGTCCGAAGATGTTGTTGGTGGTGTTGGTGGTGGCGTTGCCCTCACGTTAAAAACCCTTCCGGTCTCGTTCTCACTTCATTGTGATGTCGTCACTGGTCCAACTGACGCGGACATCTTGCACGGTCACACAGGCCGACGAAGCAAGACCCTTCAACTCCAAGGGAGCCAAAAACAACCCGAACGATTGCCTCACGACGTGAATGACTTTGGAGAGACAGAAACGGCGTTACAGTCTACCGCTACACACAAAGCCAATTCAATCACGACTTCCCCGCCCACCCATCATCGCCCCGAATCACTCGCCGGAACGGAAAGAGCCGTGCAATTTTTACCGGTTCGGGCGACCGACAAGGTGGTGTCGATGTTTGCCGCCGCCAAGTGGGGCAGGGGGTGGAGTGATAGGGTCGTCCCATCCGGGGTGCGGCAGACCTGGAGTGCCTGCTCGTCCAACCGGATATCTTGCATCGACAAGATTGGTTTTTGCGCCTGTGTTCATGGACATCCACTTCGGCTAGCCAATGAGTCCTCGGTTTTCAGCCGGCAGCAAGGAAATGCCACTTGGTTTTGGAACCCTGCTGCTGTAGTTCGAGACCCTAGTTCCCACAATACAATATGGAGCATCGTTTTTGGTGTCGTTCGGGTTTTGGTCATGCCTACGAACGATTAAAGTCAAGGCCATTGGTTTCTTTGTAGGAACACGTCTCTCCTTCTTTTGTTCAGTTCTCCGCGTCGCTCGATCCAAAGAGTAACGGCTCGCGCCCCAAGGCTCCCACATTTCATTCGCGACGTGAAAACGTAGTATTCACTCTACGGGCTTTTCGGTTTCATTTTTGGGTGTTCCTTATCCTGGGCTGGCGTTTTTCGTGATCGACGGACACTCTTCTCTCTCCGTTTGCCAAGGGTAGGATAACGGGCACAACTGGATAGAAGCAAGTACGGGCTGCAATCTGAAGAGTACAACAGCGCAGCAGTTTTAGATAGAAATCGGGGTTGGACAAATCATTACTAGCAATCCTTGTGGCCAACATTGTCTCATCAACTATCCTTGTTGCTTGCTGCAGGCCTGAGAACCACCTCGCCCTCGGCGCCCCCAGGCGGGTGTGGCGTGATATCTGGGCAAAGATGCTGACAGCGATGTATTCCCGATTCCCTTGCCAGCAAAACAATTTGGAATCCTGATGCCAACAGCCACCTGTTCCCTCCACCCACCCCTACTAGAGGTGGAGCTCCGATCGATTCTTTGTGCACAACCCTACAACCCAATGTTGCTCCGGGGTTGCTACCTTATAGCTGAATGCAGCAGCTGACTGACGTTTGCATCGCCGGCCCGTCGAAAACCTATAGGGTATTATAGTATCGTAAACAACACAAGACAACACAACCCCTGGACCTATTTTCAAAGCTCGATTGCTACACGACGAAGAAAATTCGTAAACGAAACGATACGTTTGGGGAGAGCTCGCAACCAGACGGTTTCAACGCCGCCGTTTTCGGCGCTGCGACTCTTGCTGCTGTTGATAACTCGAGCCATGAAAATCGGTCCAAGGGGTGTATTCTCGGATACGGGTACTCTTGTCGCGACGCTAGCACCTCCTGGAAAATGGTGAATTTGAACTACTCTTTGTTGCAAGGGTTAAAACCCTCCGGGACGCCCGAAATTTCGGCGTATTACACGTATGTAGGCCTCGTGGAGGGGTCACCACACACGCGGAGCGGTTGTAGAACAACTGCTTGGGCCTACACGCCCTCGGATGTAATTTTCATTTGGCTGAGGCAGGCAAGACGGCAAATACCAGCCCCCGTCAAATTCATTTTAAAATGTTTTGTTTTACGAAGCATAGACTACGTGCCCGCCTAGACACCGGCTTGTCGACGATGTGGACCACTACGAATTAAATGGCCATTTCGGCGAGCATGCCCTTGTCTCGGGAGTTGCCACACGTCAGCTACCCGTTCACTTGAAATAGTCCCTTGTCGCTCAGTGACTCGTCGTCATCGTTCCGCTCAACCGATGGTACGATACCCACCGGAAGGTTTTGGCCTTGCCATGTACGACCTCGCTTTTTCCGGCAAGCTCGTCTTCTTCACGCCTCACTCTCTAACATCGCTGCACTGCAGCAATTCACCCGCTACCGTGCTTTACGGCCATTCTTGCGAGGCTTTCACTTTCTTCGTCTGCTGTTGGGTTGTCGGGTAGACTACTGCTGTACACGGCTCGGCGACAGGCTATTGTGCTGTATTGAGTTGTACGAAATCGTAAGCCGCACACCATTGCCCTTGATGAGTTGGTTTCATTCTCCCCTGCTCGTTGGAATGGTCGGTGCGGTTTCTGGAACTGGTAACGCTCTCGTTGCAGCACCCGCTTGGTGATTCTTGTATCGTCGAAGAGCTATCAGCGCTACAATTTCACTGACGCTGCAGTGCTTGACAATACTCACCGGCACCGCGTACGACGCAGGGCACTCCTGCCGCTTAAGCAGATCGGCACCGATGCGCGACGACTTGCTGCTCGAATCGTGCCGCGCTTCGGACTTGTTCGCCCCGTGACGCCATGACCGCTTTGGCCTAGTCGGCCGCGGTGACGTCGCCTCCGTGGGAATACTTCCAGAGGACGAGGGCACCAATCGGAGGCGTAATTTGCAAGGGTGGTGGCGGTATCCTTGTTTGTTTCGACACGCCAACGGTATGGCCCTCTCACAAGTCGCTCTTGAGTACTGCACATCAAGGACTGAGTGAAATCACAAAATGAATTGGCGTGTTTTGCAACGTCGTTGCCGGGGGGAGGGGTGTACTCATAGTCGTGCATGCCGTAGTCGTTAGACCATTGACCTCGCATCCCCACAAAGCCGGGACGGAGCACGCCGGGTTCTCACCGGACCAGGCTCTCACATCGCCAAGCGCGAAGCTCCGTGAGGTATTCGGCGAGTCGTATGAAGGATGCGCTGCATCCTGCTAAGGGTGTTCGGCATGACAGCTGCGTATGACTTACTTTTGTTTCTGTTGCTTTCACTTCCAGCGACAGTTGTAAGCACTGTGTAACTGCCTCGAGGGTGCGTGACCATTTTTACACAACGTGGTACGATCGCCGCCCTCGCGCGGAGTGAGGGGTGTCGACCCCGCACCACATGATTTATTCGACCACCATCATGGTTACCGCCAAAACAAAACAGAGGTGAAAATTTGAATGCGGCAACCTGGTTGCCGAGTTCACAAAGTGAATTTGCTTGATTTATAACGACGTTGCCATGCTACGAAAACCCAATCGCGATGGCAAACACCGAGGGGGGGCTTGTTTTTGTAACGTCGTTGCCGAGCGACGAAAACCCAACCCCGATGGCAAACG